CCTTTAGCGTTGGTCTTTTTAGAGGTCATAATTTGTTCATATGTAAGCTTAAGTTGTTGCCATATCAGTGTCAATGACGTCATTGGACGTTGTTCGTCGAGTCGAAAGCTAATGTCAACTTTGGAAGCAAGTGTTGCCGATGATGGACGAAAGATGGTCGTCGACGGACACAAGCATATGTCGTCGACGAATGAAAGATGTTCGTTGACGGATATAAGGCGGTCGTCGACGGACGGAAGCCGATGTCGTCGACGGACGGAAGCCGATGTCGTCGACGGACGGAAGCCGATGTCATCGACGGACGGAAGCCGATGTCATCGAGGGACGAAAGCTGATCGTCGACGGACATAATTTAATGTCGTCGACGTCGGAAGGACTTTGTCGATGTTGAACGTTGGTTGTGATAATGGTCACGACGTTAGTCGAAGATTGTCAACAAATAATGAACTGGCGACAAGGCCAAAATAGGTGATTCGGGTGCTAAGACCATTGAAGAAAGAGACGATGTCTGTGTACACCGGCGATAAAGCTAAATCTCGAATGTTGTAACATAGATTGAGTACTTGGACAACTAGATGATAGAATTACTTTAAATATGAATTTTTAGAAAGACAATAAATATACTTACTTTTGATCCTGCATCAACATGTCGTTAGAGGATAATATAATAATTCATTAATATAAAAGACATTAAATTAAACCAAACCTGTTGATGATAGTGATGTTGCTTTATGGTCCCTCAATTAGAGGGTAGAGCAATTGAATCGTCGTCATTATAGAAATAACCACGATGATACGTTAGCTCTTTGTTCTGACCTATGGTGTCGAACTCGGCCTGTTTAGGCAACAAAAAGTCTTTTCAACATGGTGTCTGGCGACGAGGCCGCATATGTAATTTGAATGCAATCAATAAAGGATTTCTTAATGTGTTAACTCATTTTATGGCGTTAAAGCCAATCGGAAAACTTTGTTGCGATGTCCAACGCTAAGTTTGTTGAATGTATTTAGTGTTCACACTTGGTGTCACAACCAAGTGGTGCTTTCGTCATAATAATTTCAGGCGTCAAGGCCATTAACAAACGTTTTCTTTGTACGAAGATAACATTCGATCGCTTTGTCTTGCACTATTTAAAGTACAAAATATTTATCGTATGTGATAACTTTTGTAACGTCGTTGAGGACAAAGACTTGTGAGAAAATATGATCATTTCATGACTTTGTATCGGAGGATAAACTCTAATGTAATTATGGAGCTGCCGACATTGGGCATTATATGTCTATGTTACTTATGCATGATAAAATCAAATTAAATTAAAGAATAAAAAATAAAACGTTTCATAGATAAAATATTGAAGACATAAAAGAGTGCATGTTTTCTAAAACGATTTTTAACGACACTCGCGATACTCTACATGTTTATGACACTTTGTAGACTTAAGACACTATATGGGCTTTAGGACTTGCGTGCTTTGCGGTGTTTCATTTGTCAATCTGCATGATCGATCGTTACGACCAATCTTTTCGATGTACTTTTGAAGAATAACTTTGAAAAAAGTTATACTATCGTTGTATGGCCATCGTTGTACGCCAATACCCCTTGCGCCCTGGTGTCTGACGCTAAACACTGAGGATTAAACTGGTAGTTCAGGTACCGGGTGTTAGACGTTTGACGCTAGGGTCTATTTTGCCCGGGCTTCATTTTGCTTTGATTGTTCGTTTGAACGGCGGCTTTCCTCACCCTTTCAAAGGATGTCAGTGTAGCCGACGTCGATTGTTTTCTTTCGTCATTTACTTGTGTTGTAGGTCATGAACTTTTTTCCTTTGACATCGTCGTGCATTGCATTATGTAGTCATGACCCTTGATCATAATTATTTGATGTTCCGATCCTTTGTAAATGTCGCTACAACTTGCTAGTGTGACCCTTGGTTGTCATCACCATGACATTGAGGTTCCCTATTCGCACATGTCGTCATGATCCTTATTTACGTCATCATCTTCATGGCGTCAAGGTGTATGACATTTTCATACATAATATTGAAATCATTATGCTTAATCTCGGCATCGAGTAACCTGTTCGTCATCACTCTAAACACTAATATTGGATTTTTACATTAAGTCATTAATAAATTGAAAATGTGAAATGTAAACGACGCGTAAAAATATCTAGATACTGCAAATGACATCGATTCATAAATCAAGATGCAACCATATGTTTCATCAAAAGAATTACTAATAGTCAATTAAGAACAATAAATAGGCCAAATAACAAAAACATAAATTAGCTATGTGTATTACTACATCAACAAAGATGATAGACATAACAAGTAAAACTTTAAGGCAGTAGAATCATGTCAATGACAATGCTAATGTAGCAAATCAAAGTGATATATAATACGTTGATGAAGATGATCAATGGAAAAAGAAATAAATACTTTAAGCTAGACAATAAATTAAAGAGCATGATCATGACATTGTAAATGTAGAAACTAAAAGCGATAATGTTGTGTACCTCAATAGTGTCGGTGACTACCACGGTTTGTGACAAGATTGATGGAAGTCGACATACATTTTAAGTAATAGAAAGTTACCTTGATAAGAATTGATGTCATTTAAATCGAGCCCTCAATGTTGGATCACTCGGGAAGATTAAGTCAGGTTTAGCCCCGATGTCATATTCGATATTGGTAAATTATCTACAAGAGAATTCTCATATATCGACTCGTTGTTAAATAACCATGAAATAATAACAAATAACATTCTCCACCATACGTATTCAGAAAAGCGTTAAGTATTCATAAGTATGTTAAGAATGAATCATAATAAAAGCATCGACAATTAATCAAAATATAATGATCAAAGTGTTAAAATTTAAGAAAAAATAATCACAATAACCAAAGCATGATATATTCAAGCATTAGGGATCAAATAACACAAATTAATCAAAGCATTTGATAATTAGAGCATACTATCTTGCCCCCTTGTGTCAACTTCATGTAAAAATGCAAACAATATGAAATGAAGTTAGCCACAAAATATAATGTTACCGTCAACTCGTTGTTGTTTTGCTAACGATAATATTCTGACATCGTCACTACTGACTGACATCGCCGAAACTAACTATCGTTGCTGAAATGGAAGATCGACGTTGCTGACACTAGCTGTTGACGGATGGATGACGTCGAGTTATTGTTGGCGATAGTAAATTGTTGATAATCTTATTAGCGCCAACCTTGATGGTGACATCACTTGATTACTTATCTGTTTCAACGACAACATAGCCTAGAAACAATGTTAGTCTATGAAGGCAAGCATTAAGATATAGTCGGTTAGTGCATAAGAGTCAAAGTTAATTGGCAAAGAAAAAATAAACAAGCTAAGTAAGCGAACAACATTTGCATGGGTGCTTTTGTTTATTAAATGACGAAGAAATGATAGCAATTACGTTAAAAGATAATGCTTTTAAAGCTCTAAAAAATTGATAAAAAAAAATGTAAAACATTAAATTAGAAATGGAGCTTCAAAGTAACAACGGTCATGTAAATAATGAAAATTAGGAACAGATGGTAATAACTCGTCAGTACAAATAAATGTAATTAAACCTTTATGACAAGGGTCACTATTATGTCAACAATATGACGTACCTTGGTAGCGTCAATTAGTTGTTCTAAATTATTACTCACATAAATGTTCTAAATTATTACTCATATGTAGGTTCTAATTTTTAATTTGAGACACATGTTCTAAATTTTAAATCAGTTCTCGTATAAGAGTATGAATTCTCACATATGTGCCTATTCTCACCGGATCTCTCTCTCTCTCTCTCTCTCTCTCTCTCTATATATATATATATATATATATATATATATATATATATATATATATATATATATATATACTGGCCAACACAAAAATCATATCAGCCAACAAATAAAACATATCAGTTGTTCATGCTAAATTTCGTCAAGTAGGATTTGATGTGGGATACGGGCTACAGATCAACTAAATTAAAATAGGGAGTATGGAATGCGGAAAGTAAATGACGGAAAAATAAAGGGAGAGGGAGGAGACACAATATGGTGACGCGGAAAACCCCAATGAAGGTGGGTAAAAACCGCGGGCGGCAATGAGGCCACCAATCCACTATAATACGGGCATAAAGCCAATAATTACAAGTACAATGTGTATTTTACATTTGATAACATAAAAGTGTATAAGTAAATGTATGTACATTAGGTGTAGGACTAACGCAGTACGATAAGGAGATTGATTAGGTGCATTATTATGGGTAGAAATGTATCCTTGCAAGATTATACAAAGGCTTAAAATATAGTAGCAAGGAAGGAGTGTTTGTAGTGGAATGATGATGTGGAGAATGGATGAAATTACTATAGGAGTTCATGGGTATTTTCGAAGGTTTGGCAGGAGGTGGATCAAAATGGTTTTTTTGTCAGTGGCTAATGGATGATCCTCATGTGAGGAACTTGTTTCCTATTTATAGAGCTTTCTGTACGTAGTGTCGAGATATTTGGTGGTTGTTGCATAGTAATTTCTTGATTCCCTCAACCGCTTCCTTAAGTGGTGGAGTAGTGGTTGTTTCCTTTACTTGGTCTTCTAATGAAATGTAGACTTGTCCTAGGGTGTAGATACGTAGTAGCAACCTTGAACACTTATTCTCGTTGACCCATTGTTTCTTCTTGATTCTAGGGAGCACTCGTAACTATCTTGACCCGGTCTTGTAGCATCGACCGTTGACTATCATTATCGGTCAAACATTGTACAAAATTACCCCATAACATCAGCTAACACATGAAACATATAAGCCAACAAGTAAAACATATTAGCCAAGTCATCCGCACGTAAATTTGCATATGTACGGGCATCCGCACACAATAGCTTCTCAAATATGTATTGCGAACAATAGAATATGTATCATATTGAGCAACCCATGTATATATGGATAGTTATTAAGCTATACACTTATATTACATGTATGATTCAATGATATAATATCATTGCTTATTTATCATTGATAATCCATGCACATAGTCCATATGAGATAGAACATGGAAGATAAAAACGTAGAAAATGATACATAGTACGTACACACATACACATTAACTAGGATAGCAGGATGTAGATCGATCAGATGAGAACTCATGCATCAACGAAAACGTACATCATCAGCATCCGATAGAGCAGTTTCTAGTTTATTTACTTCTTTTGAACTTAAGGATGGCCATGTCGTTTTTAATGTCATCCAGTGTAGTGTATTTCTTGTTATTTATTGTTTGTTGTGGTTTCAATTTAGTGCATGGAGGTGTTGAATCATGAATAGATTTAGAGATTGAATTCCAATTATTCTGAAATTCAACCATTTTATCTCTGAAGGCTTTTGTCGAAGCAGTTCTCACATAAACTATGGCTTCCTCCATGAATTTAAAACGTGCTGCCTCGGAAACAATTTGGACCGCAACAAGAACAAATTTAGCCTCTTTCTTGGGCTCTGGATCTTGTTTCCCATAAACATCAAGGATGGTTTCCTTGAGGAGTTTAAGTTTTAAGCTGAGGTTCACTCTTTTTTCTTTGGAGACTTTCTCGAGGCTGCCATAGGTGCTTGAGAACTTGGTAGTTCTTTCTATATTCGTTTTTACGAAAAGGCTTTTGATGGCAGCGTTAGGAGTGTCAACAAAGAAACTGGAACGATAATCCTTGCGTTTCTTATTCTTCGGATCCTCGTACATGACATTGTCTGTATAACCCACCACATAAAGGTCCATCACATCTATTCCTAAGATGACCCATTGTTCCGGAACCTTGCTAATCGTAAGTTTTACATGAACATATTCCTTGCCTTTTGATGGTGTGCCGTTCGTCGTTGGTTAGCCGCAGACCCCGTTTTGGGCTTTCACTTCATCGCGCAGGTTCGTCAAGAATGCCTGGTAGCCCGAAGTACCCTGATCAGTAAGATCCAACGTCACGGTAGTCTTCAAATCCTTCCTAATTTCCAATTCATTACTTTTCACGATGGTCAATGATAGCATAGCCACTACCACCATTATCGTGGCTGCTGACAACATTTTCATACTGGCTATATATGTACTTCTCGTATATATTACCAATCGTTCGTCACTCTTTCCACCTGCATAGGAATTGAATATTCAGCATGTTGAGATCTTGCTTACTTAAAAAATGATTAATACACCTATTAAATTAGACCACATCTTTTTAATTGGTAGATATCATTGATTATATTCCATAGTTTTAAAAAATCATTTATGACAAGTACATCAATATCAATCTATCTATGTAGTTTATTAAAAGACGCTCTTAACAACGTCCACGTATCACATAAACCCCCGTCTCTACGCCAAATGGCTCTTCCTTCTTTATGTTTTTTATAGCATGTATAATAATAATAAAAAAAAAAACAATTCTACACGAGATTTGAACACACAATCTCTAATTCTACAACTAAGTGCCTTACCATCAAACTATGTAATTTTTTATGCAATATTTTGAATTTAAAAAATTACTTCCTACGTCCGTTTAAAAAATTAATAGCTTAAGTAATGCATTGACAAGCGTAAAATCCTTCATGATGCAATAAAAAAACGGAGGAAATATGATATATGTACTGTTTGAGAAGTATTTTAGTAATTACTTATTACCTTATGCATCAAGTTATAAAAAAATCCGTATTCACAAGTATTTTTGTTTAAATCCGTGCATCACACAAGTTTTAACCTAGTTATCAATATAATATATCATCTATAAAAATCTCCTTAAAATAGGTTGCCAATCAAACCATCCAAGACCTAAAAGTCTCATTTAATTTCTTCTAACAAAAACTTATATATATATATATATATATATATATATATATATATATATATATATATATATATATATATATATATATATATATATATATATTTGGTTGTACACAACTTTTTATATGTGTGGCCAGCTATTATGTTTGTTACTTAATAGTGTTTTAGGAGTTAGGCCCTGTTTGATTCACCTTAATTTTGCTGAAGTGAAATTATTTTTACTGAACTGGACTTATTTTTACTGAACTGAACTTAATTTTACTGAACTGAAATTATTTTTACTGAACTTAAATTATTATTAGTGAACTGAAATTATTTTTACTGATTTTCTATTATAATTCTTATTTAAGAAAACTGAATTTTACTGATCTGAACTTATTTTTACTGAACTGAAATTATTTTTACTAAACTGAAATTAATTTTACTTAACTGAACTTATTTAACTGAACTGAAATTATTTTTACTTAATATTTTTTTTTAAAAAAGAAAAGAACAGGGCCTTACTTCATTAGTGTTACAAAGATTATTTTGTAAGTGTTACATGGGTTATTTAGTTAGTATTTTAAGCATATCATATATTACATATGGTGAAATCAACTTTTTTTACAAAAAATTAAGCCTAAAATGGTTAGGAACTGAATGTACTTAATGATTAGGTCATATGCAGTTGAACTTGACAAAAAAAGACCCAAATTGGTTAAACTTGTACACATATGTTGACCTCATTCGGATTTAAAATGAAAGTAATGGAATAACTTTTACCATTTTAGCCTTTTTAGGTCATAATAATTACATAGTAGTAACTATATTAGGCCTAACTGCATTTTGTTTTTTTATGAACTGAAATTATTTTTACTAAATTTAAAATATTTTTACTCAATTAAAATTATTATTATTATTTTTTACTGATTTTTTATTAGAGTTACTAAATTTTATCAAACTAAAATTAATTTTATTAAATATTACAAAGTAATTTTTTAAGATGAATTGAACCATGCCTAAGCTAAATTTGTTGCTAGAGGTTTTGAGCTAAAGCTACATGAAGAATAAATCTTCATTATTGGTTTAAATAGCCACACATTAAAAGAGAGTCTAACCACTATAAAGTGTATAGTAGCAGTTAAAATACGTTGGTAATAGATGTAATCTAGAGTAGCCTTTTGAAATTAGCATTAGTGTCATGTTTGACTATGTTAATGATAGAGTATAAAACATATTTCTGAGCCTCAACCATCGGCTTCACCTTTTTTTGTCACGTTGGCTTCGATACCTTGTTAGTAGACCATGTTAACCAAAAACTTAAGCTAATGGTTGAGCCCTAAGAATTCATTTTATAGAAATTGTATAAATTAAGGACCCATTTTATTTTTAAAAACTAAAAGGGAAAGAGTATAGAGATTAGAGTAACTTACAACAAAACTAAGCCAAAGCTTGCGTTAAGTGGATATAATGTGTAGAACGACTAACTATAGTAGAGAGAAGAGATTTGTGTTGGTGAGAAGAAAAGGTTGGCTCTTTGGCTTTTTATATAGGCATATATGGCACCTATCCGTAACTCAAACACGGGTACAATTGTACGATCAACTGACAGATCTAGGAATTTAAAGATCGGAGTATGAAATTAGGCTTAAAAGGGCAAATACAAGTTTATCTGCCAGATAAACGAATTTTTTTTAATGTGATGGGTGATGGTATTTTTGTAAATATATTGAAAAAGTGTGGTCATATATTCAGTACTTTTGGTGAGCTGTCCAATTACTGTTTGCAATTGCTTTTACTGTTTGCTGAGGAAATTACACATATACCCCTCAACTAATACATGAAATGACACATGTATCCCTCAAATGGTACTTGAAAAGACAATTATACCCTAACTGGGTACAACCCTAAAAAAATACAAATAAAACGTGGAGTCTTATCAATTTTTGTGTCAACTTATAAATTGGGGTTATTTATAAAGTATGACTACTATTAGATGAAACCCGTGCAATGCACAACTTATTTGTTTTTTTATAGAACAATTATTTTTAAAAAAATTTATGTGCTAAAATTTGTTATATTAAGATAAAACTAGGTTAGAACCCGTGCAATACACGGTTTATATAAAACCTTTTTATAATTTGTACATTTTTACAAAAATGGATACATATGAATAAGAATTATGCACCTTGAACAAAAATATTTGTACTTTTAAAATTTTAGATTTTCATCAAAAGTATGATATAATACTTGTTTAGCTTGGCCTAATACATATTTCAATGTAGGAGTCTATTTATTAGTGGGCTACTAAAATTATTTCATTTTTTAAGGATAAATTGATAAGCTGTAGCTGTAATCGTAGAAACTTCTAATATTAAATTTCAAAATTATTAAATATGATACCTTAAAAAAAAACAAAATAACCTAGAACAAAATGCATTTAGGTGGGAAATTTTTTATCATGACTTTCCAGTTTATTTATTTATTTATTTTTTCTTTTGATCCCGAACTTGTATTAAAACAATTAATATATCTCGGTTAAAAAAAAAAACCAACTAATATATCGTCGAAAAGCCCTAAAAATCTACTTTCCAACCTAATTAAAATCAGGTCATTAATTATCAAAATTAAGAACAAAATTAATTGAACCTCGATTATCATACATTTTATTTGAAGTAGTAACCCTATCTTAGATATTGCCCAAGTTGCAATAAAATAACTTACTACTCCATAATCTATAGAATTGTCATTGTGTAGGCAGGGGACAAGATATCGTTATTCATTTTAATGGAAGTTTGTTAGCTAGAATACGACAAACAAGCTAAGAGCCACTTTTTGTTTGTCTAAGAACGAGCAATAAATACAATATACTTGGTATTTCGGGGTTTTCTGATGTCCTGCGGGAGAGTTATAATTCCGAGACTGGAACCGGACGCCTGTACCTGCAAAACAACGGAGACTCCTTGTGGTGGGAGCTCCGCCTCCAACGATCAAGTTAGTACTAGTTTAAGGAGTAATTAATGCGGAAATTAAAGTGATTGGGTCTCTCTAGGTGAGAGTGTTTAATGTAGGTAATCTGCTTTTTAGCGTGTAATTCATGTAATCTCCCTTAATGAGGATTAAGGGAGGTATTTATAACCTCGGGAAACGTGCCAATCTAGGTTTAGGTTAACCTTGGGCTGATTGGGCTTCCCTCGGAAGCTGCGCCTAGGTGACCGGTTATCCCAGGTGTCATGGGAAGGACACGTGTCGTGTCGTAATTGGTCCATGGTGGACGGATCATTGCTTGACACGTGGCAGGCTCCTATTAGCCCATGTGACGGACACATGGCGGAACCTGATTGGTCCACTTGTCAGATGGTGACTGGTGGGGAAAAATCCCCTAATCATTTGCCCCTCACAGGTGGCACGTGACTGGTCACGTGTTACCTGTGACAAGTATCGCCCTGTAACAGGCGACGGCCTGCTACAGGTGTCACTCGGCGAGAGGCCGAGAGATTCTCCCGCCAAAATTTTGAATTCTGGAAGTGACCCTTCGCCTTCTCACTTCGCCTATATAAAGGAGTGTTGACTTCGGTCATTTTCACACTTGAAAACTTTGTGAGAGAACATTCGGACCCCTGAACTTGCTCTGACATTTTGGACCCTTTCTGCCTACCGCCTGCTCTGACAAGCCGACTGCAAAGGATTTTCAGAACTTCATCAATCGTCACTCGTTCAGGTAACCGTCGGTTCTCTTACTCTTAATTTTCTCTTTACTTTATTCTTTTTTGAAATGGCACCACAGAAGCACACGTCACGACATAGGTTAGTGATCAGCCGGTCACCGGGGACGGCTGAATCTAGGACTAGGAGTGCCGCCTGCCCTTTTCTGGACCCATCTTTGCCCTTTATACAAAGTCCGACTGTATCTGTGTCTATGCAGAGCATGATGGCCAGGACAAAAAAGACTGTCAGGATCTCAAACTCAGACGGCTCCTCCCACAGGGTGCCGATTAGTGAAACATCTGACCAGGCGCCAGATGTGGAGGTGAAACAAAGCGGCTTGAAAGCCGGCAGTTCTGAGGGAGGAGTCAAAGTGACCCCCTCCCATTTTACAGTTGACAATTCTTCATTCTCTCCTGCTCCTTTTAAAGGAGAGGAGGCGGGCCCCTCCGGGAGAGGGGAAGAGTCGTCCTCTTCGGACTCGTCAGAGGACGATTCCGAGTCTAGCTCTTCTGGCCATGCTTCTCTGGACACAGAAGAGAAAAACAGTCGCCTGCAAGAGGCGAGGCTTTCTCACGCAGTTGAGAAGGGGGACGATTGGGCGGAGCCATCCGCCTCTCACCGAGAGCAAAATACCCCCTACTACTGCACGGTACCTCGGGGCCAGATCACAGCCATGCAAGAGAAAGTGGAGAGCTTTATCGCAAACCACACAATGGGCCCCGGCTTTTTAGTGTTCGTGCCGGATCCAGAAGACACAGTCGTCTGGCCGGCTGGTACCAGTTATGATAGCGCCTGCTTTGGTTGCTACGAGGAGGCCATCAAGGCTGGGCTGCGCTTCCCACTACATCCGGCTGTTCAGCGGATCTTGGATGGGTATGAGTTGGGGTTATGACAGTTAGCCCCGAACTCCTGGGTCAACGTACTCGGCTATGTGGCCGGGTGCGAACTGCACGGGGTGGAGCCGAACTTCGAGGCTTTCGCCCACATGAACTACCTCAGCCGGACCCCTAAGGCAGGCGGTACCGGCTGGTATCAATTGACGAGCCACAGGGGCTACCTCATGACGAGAGGTAAAGCAAACAAATGGAAGGACTGGCGGAGCACCTTCCTCATCATTGAGAGTTCAGACACAGAGCTGAACAAGCGCTTCAACAGGTGGAACAGGAATCCGCCCCTTCTTGCAGGCGGCCGCAGCATGCCGCCTGTTCCCCCCAAGGCTAAGAAAGAGATCCTAGATAAAGGACTCTTCAAAGTAGAGTCGAAGGTGAACTCTACTTCAGGGGTACGAGAGCAAGTACCCCTGCACTGCGTCCCGAGCTTCAAATGGCTCTACGACGAGTACTTTTAGGCCGCCTGTGGCCTCAGCAGTCGGTGCTCAAGAGGTAGCCGGCCTGTCGAATACTCTGCTGTTCCATGCATTTCTTGTTATGACTTTTATTAACTTTGCTATTTGTTTTTGCAGCGGACGCCATGAGCAAAATTACCGCCTCCAAGACTGCGGCGGCCATGTTGCGGGCCTCCATCATGCAACAGTCTTCAACCGACTCCCCCAACAAGGGGGCACCCTTGGTGGGCTTCGAACCTTTCACCCTCTTTTTGGAGTTGTGTTTATGCATATACTGACTTCTTCTTTTTTAGACGGGCGCTCCAAGAGCTTCTTCTTCCCAACAACCGGACCCCAAAGCCCGGAGGACGACTGTTGCGAGCTCTCCTGGTTCTGCCAGGAAACATGCGGCGGCTGAGAAACAGCCGGCCACTTCTTCTAAAACTCCAGCTGGGCCGCCTAGAAGTATGAAGTTGTCCTTGTAAATTTTAGACTTGCTCCCTTTTTTACTAGGTCTAATCCGTTTGTTTATGCTTGATGCAGCCGGCCCTCAGGAGCCTGATTTGGTCGAGGTGGCCAAGTCTATGATCAAGGTCGTTCCTCCAGCTGAAAGGGAGGCGGTCAGGGGTGTCGGCACCCTTGACCTAAACGGGATTGCAGGGGTCCTTGCTGAGGTATACTTAGCATATTTTTTGAGTATTTGATTTCCAGGACGCCTGTTTTCTTTTTGTTTGGAAACTGACGTCTGTTCCCCTTTTTACTTAGGCCCTGCTCCGAGTGAACGGCCTTCGCAAGCCGCTTGACCGGAATAACAAAGAGGTAAAGGCTGCAAAAGCTATGGCCGCCTCTGATTGTGATAAGGCAATGTTTCAAATTGCCCAAAATGAAGTTCTGACCATTGATATTCTTTATTATCAGGCGCAGGCTACCGCCGCTATCCGGGCTCAGTTAGAGGCGGCCCAAAAGAGGAATAGCGAGCTGGAGGCGACCATCAACAACCTCAAGGCCGAGCTGAAACCTCTTCGCCAAAAGATGTCCTCATACGAAACCTTGGAGAAATCCTTGGCGAGCGTAAAGGTACGCCTGGTGACCCAGGAGAAGAGTCTTACTCAGGAGCTCTCAGAAAAGGCCGAGCAAGAAAAGAAAGAGCTGATCCGGGAGATGATGGAAGACTCTGCTCAAATCCAGCGCATGACTTGGGGCCGCCTCTTCCCTAATGCCGACTTTGCCTCATGGGAAAAAAAACGTACCGCCAGTGTTCTGATAGATTTAATCAAGAGATCCTGGCGGCTGCTGAGGAAGAGGCGTTGGAGGACGCGTTGGAGGAGGAGGAGCAGCCGGTAGTGGCGCTTGTGCCGCTTGGGGGTAATGCATCAAAGAAGGATGCAGCTGAATCCGAGTCCAGCAAGAAGAGTGCTGACCAGGCAGCAGCTGCTAATATTGAAGATCTGCCCCCTTCTTAAGCTTTATGTCTTCTTTCCACGGCCT